TAGGAAAGAGCTGTAACGCAATTCACCTTTCTGCGCTTGTTGGTTTCTTCAATATTTCAGCTAGCTGCTTCAATCATGCAGCAATCTACTAGATCTGCTGCTATCAACATAGCTCAACTTGAGTCAAAGGATGATCTTACATGAGGAGGGGGGAAAAAGAGCAAGAGCAAGAGCAAGAGGGGTTCAAACAGCGTTTTGTTATCGAGGTTTTCGTTCTCACCTGCAGGAAAGGTTCTCCTTCGAGGTCATGGAAATGTTCACATTCATCTTGAATCATTCGACGATACCTGCAACGTGTGAGGGCAGAGCGATGAAGATTGAAGATGAAAAAAGAAATATGTCAAGATTGATATGAGATAGTCAAGACAGAGAACACGCACAAGTCAAGAAAGAAAAAACATCCGAAGAAACAAGATAAACGATTCCCAGACAAGAAACAAACAACGTGATATGGATCGCAGGTGATATGTTTCTTTCAATGTTAGGTTTTGTGTTTTGCAACCACATCGCAAGTGTCAAAATCTGCTCACAGTGAACCGTCGTTGGGTCCATAGGAGAACATGAAAACTTCAATCTAAAAGAGAAGTCAGTCGGAGGTTGAAGAGGGCAAAGAAATCAAGTCACCTCTTTTGTTTGCTGGTGTTGTCTGAACATTCCTTGAACAAGAAGGGCTAATGCAAGAAATTTCACAAAGGATTAACACAAAGTAATTTCCCCTGATCATTGCTCATACGCTTATTCAATTGTCATCACCAGTGATTCTATCTTATCATCTGATCTTGATATCCCAGTTTGTCATTCCATATCTCCACCCTCTTATCCATGCTGTTCTTTCTCTTTCTTGGACTTCCAATCCCCTCCTGTCTTTCTCCTGCTGCTGCTGCTGCTGCTTGCTGCTGCTGCTGCTGCTGCTGCTTGCTGCTGCTGCTGCTGCTGCTGCTTGCTGCTGCTGCTGCTGCTGCTTGCTGCTGCTGCTGCTGCTGCTGCTGCTGCTGCTGCTGCTGCATCCTTTTCATCTTTCTTTACCTGTTGGGTGGTCATGAATATCTGCGGTCAAATATCCAACTCGCAGACGCTGCCAAAAACATTGAATCCTCCTCCTCCTCCTCCTCCTCCTCGTCATCATCAACATTGTCATCATCATCATCATCATCAGCAGCAGCATCAGCAGCAGCAGCATCAACAATAACAACAACAACAACACCATTACAACAATAACAAATCATCATCATCATCGTCATCATAATCATCATCGTCATCATAAACAACAAGTGTACGTTCAAGATAAACATCGAGATCAAGAACACCAACAAGATGTCAAACCTTGTTCTCCCCTCGGAACAAGCTCATTGCTTTCTTGTAGCTGAACATCTGCGTCCAAGATCGCAGTCAACAAGAGGGGACCGCAGCTTCAGCCAGAAGGAGAAGAGGAGCAGGAGCAGGAGCAGGAGCAGGAGCAGGAGCAGGAGCAGGAGCAGGAGCAGGAGCAGGAGCAGGAGGGCATTGCCTTCCTCGGCCGTGCGCGGGGGTCCGGACGGTTTGTGCGCTGATCGATGGCAGCATGTCCCACAGAAACAGCAGCTTCCCTTGCTGAAGCAGAATGTGAGGAGGAGAGGGCAGGGCAGGGCAGGGCAGGGCAGGGCAGGGCAGGGCAGGGCAGGGCAGGGCAGGGCAGGGCAGGGCAGGGCAGGGCAGGGAAGAAGGTACAGAAGAGGAGGAGAGAGGAGACAGGACAGGACAGGACTGGGTGGTAAGAGAGGGGACGGGACGGGAGAAGCAGAGAGAGTATCGTATGAGTTTCTTTCACCTGTCCCTCTTGCTTGACTGTCAACAACAATCCGAAGTAAAGTTGCGTTGTCGAGGTGATAGCTGGAAATATCAAGTCACTTGACGTTCAAAGGAAATAAGAATTCCTGCCCTCCTTGGCTCCTTCCCCTCCTACTTGATCTTTCTTCTCTTCCTCCCTGCCTCTGCCGCCCCCCCTTGTCCCTCATCCTGATCTGCGCCTGTCTTTTGCTTTTCATCGACTTTCCCATCCCTCTCGATCTTTCCAAAGCTCCCTATGACTTGAAAGGCAAGGAGGAGCAGGATACAGGGGAGGGAGCAGCAGGAGCAGCAGCAGAACTAAGAACAGGAGGAGCAGAAGGAGCACGAAGAGGGAGGAAGGAGGGAGGGAGGGAGGGAGGGAGGGAGGGAGGGAGGGAGGGAGGGAGGGAGGACTCACGCAAGGAGGAGAGGGTGGATCGGACTTGCTTTCTCGTCGATGTCCTGCAAGGGTCTCAGCGAGGGAGGAGGAGGAGCTGTCAACTCACTCGGGTAGCAAAGAGACTCAGGAGGTTGGAAGGGGACGGGACTGAAAAGTCAGGCTCTCCCCACTTGCATCTGGCACATTTGTTCACAACTACGATGATCATGATGTGATGGCAGCGGTGGTAATGGAAGAGCAGGAGCAGCAGGAGCAGCAGGAGCAGCAGCAGCAGCAGCAGCAGGAGCAGCAGCAGGAGCAGGAGCAGGAGCAGCAGGAGAACGAGCAGGAGGAGGAGGAGAAAGAGCAGGAGGAGATGTAGGAGAAGCAGGAGCAGCAGGATCTTTGTTCTTACGTGTCTCCTCTAACAACGGCCAGTGCGTTCACGACCGCAGAACTGGACGGATCGATTTCTGCTGCTCGTTCAAAGTGACGCAACGCTGGCACCTGAAGTATCGAAGATGAGATTGAGAGAGTCATTATCGAAACAAGATGTCAGAGAAGACGACCAAGGGCAAACCAGAAGCAAACAACATTGACATTCATCGGAAGAGAATGAGCAGATGATATCAGAAAGATGAGTGCAATGGAGGAATTCATCAAGAAGTCGATTCGATTATCAGAGGATTCAAGTGATACAATGACGACAAGAACAAGTCATAATTACAGAAAGATGACAACAAAAACATGACACAACACAGCCATGGCATCACAAACATCACACGAGTGACAGGACAAGGACGGAAGCATGTTTACATCTTCCATAAGGTCGCGATGCGCCACTGCAAGTTGAAAATGCGCGCTGAAGCTGTTGGGGTTCACCCGCAGAGCCCTGACAGCAGAACTTCAAAACCCCACCGTGTCAATTTCAAATCTCTCGGCCATACTTGGAATATGCCAGCTTCGCACAAGTGAAGTTTCTCAGCGCCTTGCAAGCATCGCCCTCCATCACCTTCAGCCGGGTCAAACGTCTCCAGGGAACTTCACCAGTCACCAGCATCTCCGCGCGAGGAGCCTGACGCGCGTTCGCCTCCTGTGCGTGTCTGCGCCCGCTCGTCAACTACAGACCGCTGAGCAGGTCGCGCTCACTTGAGCGCCTCCCCGTGTCTCCCTTGGTCGGAGAGGCTCTTGATCACGTTCTGACAGGCGGATCACCACAGGAAGCCCCTCCCTCTTCATCCCTCTCCTCTCCTCTCCTCTCCTCTCGAGTTCCATCTTCCATGGGGAGATAGGGGGGTTTTTGACGAGCTGCTTGTCCTCTTGGCTTGACGGAAATGCTGCCTCCATTGTGATCCTCTCCAGGTCTGGAAACTCCATCCACTCTCCCTCGGTCTCCTCCTGTCGCTGTGCTGTGCCGGTGGTGACCCGTTGACCAGCCGCTCTCATGGTC